ATGACTATAAAACTATTTACTTTAAAAATATATTTAATGAAGAGTTATAAATATTTTTACATTTTACAATTACCACATGAGTTTCTATAAATTTTCATGTGTATTAACTTATTATGTTATTAGCATTGAACCTTTTTTTAAACAAAACGGGCGAACTAGTCGCCCTGCAGACAAAGAAAAACTAAACTATCTAGCAACTACTATATACGACCCGTATATACGATAAATATGAGAAACAATCAAAACTATTCGAGGATTGTTTTACATAAAAGGCGTGAGGTTATCGTCATTATGTGAGGTACCTTCCTCAGCACAAACACATTTCATTTTCTTTCTCTCAGCTGCAGTAACAGCGTCATCAGTAGCATTATTCATCTCCCACCAGATGGCACCACCCAGGACGTTGCGAAAGTATGGAGGAACGCTTCCCTCTCGTAGGAGGTATCTAACATAAATATCTCAATTAATTAGTAGTAGTAGTAGTATTAATTAGTAGTAATGTTATATTACTACTATTTTATTAAGAAAGTATTTGAATAAATTCAAAATACGATATCTTTTGTTTTTTAAACGAGATATATGAAATACGATACATATCATCTAAATATTTAGGTGATATATGATAAAAAACGTATTTTGTTTTGTCATAAAAGGACAATGAAATCTATTATTTCGAAAAAATTTAAATGGGACCACCTCGGTCCAATCAGCCGTCGTGAATATTGAAAATCGGTCAACAATTGGCAGAATTATCGGTGAACATACAATAAAAAATACATACATCGCCGTCGAACATATAACCTACTGCTTTTGGATTTTGAAGTCTGTTAGAAGTAGGTACGCAACTTTCAATACAAAATTTATTGGGATGCAGGAATGTAAATTCGTATGCAAAGGTAATTATTGTACCTATATATTATTTATGTATTTGTAATTCCAGTCAGTAAGCGCATGCGTTGAAAAGGGTAGGTACGCCCAACATGCCATGCCCAAAGCTGTAAACATATAACGCTACTACGATATACATATACAGATTGGGAAAACTAGGTTATCGTAAAGCAGTTATGACTGTTGTTATAATACGTAAATGACATTTGCTTGAAAGTTTGAACAAATCGTATCACTTACTTGTAGAACTGTTCTTCTTTATACTCCTCAGCTCTGCGCCTCCAATAACGTTTGAGGTTGGGGCTCATTTCAGCAGCTTCCGCTTCCTTCAGCAGACTTTCTCGTTCCTCTTGTAACCTCTTTTGTTCATAAATTTCTTCTAAAAATGTTTGGAATTGGATAACAAAACATAACCTAATTAGTTCTATACTTTCGTGCTTTAATTCATCTGTTTTACTTGCAAATGTTTTATGAATTTATGTTAGATTAATTAATTATACAAACAACTCTTTCAAATAGAAGATATTATTGTGAGAACAAGGCTGACTTAGCAGAAGTTATTTTTTGATTTAGCTAGGTAATGAAAAGTTTATTTTCGTCTGTCGATATATAAATAATAATAAAATAGAACTTATAGTAGGTATAGGGAATAATAAAGGATGGATACCTTCTTCCATTTCGCCCTCGAATGACAATTCTGAAATCTTTGCTGGCTTAGATGTTATGCTGGCCTTACTGCGGCTTTCCACGTCTTCATTGAGTCGGACTTTTAAATCTTCATATATCCTGTGTGGTGTATAGCTTTGATACATTATCTTTTAAGTAGGGTAACATCATTTCATTTGGTTTTGTAACAAACAATTAAACACAAAACATATATTCGTACCTGTGCCCCAAAGTCTGGATAATATCATCAGTGCGTCTCTCATCATCGCTGCGGATGTCTTTGAGAGGCACGTGTAATATCATTTCGCTATCGGAATCCATTACTCGACGATAACGTAAAATTGCCACCAGTAGTTCCCTAGCCCCTTTCAGACTCTGCCGATTCTCGTCTTTCCATTGTTGTTCTAAAGTTCTAAAAGCGATCGTTAGATGAAATAGTTGCTGATAGTGCAGCCACTTATTGCCGAAAAATATTGTCTGTTTAGAAACCACATACGAACCTGATAATAAAAGCTCTTGGGACTCTTTCGGGCAAAACGTTGGCTGGTTTCATTGGTTTCGGTTGAAATCTGGCGTATGGCCTCATCCAATGATAGAAACCTTTCCCACAATCTTTTTTCAGATCTTTGTAAGTCAGGTGTTTCGGCTTATCGGCCAGTTTGGAGTCCATCAGCCATTTCTTTTAAATCAATGTTTGATTAATCGTTCGGTTAAGCATATGAACTATCATTATCTAAAGGTACTAATGGAAAGGACAACATTTCTATATTTTTTTCCATCTATAGACTTTTATTAAAAAATGTCGCTTCCCATTTTTTTAAACTATACAACGGATTTTAATGCAGTTTTCATCACTACTATTAATTATTATAATATGAATAGTAGATAAAGCGTTTTATTTATATAGAAAATATATTATTTGTCTTTCTACCAGTGCGGACTATCTTCTTAATAATTTAAGTACCTAGATTTTTTGCATTTCAACGAGTATGCTTAAATTGTACAACAAATATTTTTTAGGAATATTTGAGTTAACAAACTCAGAATCATGCCTCACTGAAAAACGCAATTAAGCAAATTGGTGATGAAACGTGCTGAATTATTTGCGTTATTTCTGGATTTCTGACCTAGGTAACAGCAATGGAAATTTATAGCCAAATTACGAAGAAGACTAAAGTTAAAACACTGATAATGGTAATACATGTAGCTGGAAAACAACCCCGGCCTCGAATTTGTTTGGTATACATAGTTGTAAACCGTGTGATAATACTCGTAAATACGTTTAATCTGCTGTGAAATATTAAGGAGTATGGGTGTTGATGTTCTAATGTTTCTCTTAGTTTGGTATGATACAATTGCATGTGCTTGACAGTAGGATGTCTGCTTGTATGTAATGTAATATCTAAAAAAGTCTTCCGCGCTTTGGAATGCTTTTTAATTGGTTGCTCGTGGTAGCCATAATAATGGCCGGCGCAGATTGTAACCTTTTCCTGTGGTCTTCTCCACCGGGAATATTCTTCATTGATTTATTACATAGCAGCCTGTACCCCAGCTGTAACTTGAAATCACGAAAAGAAAATACACACGCAATTAATTACTACGTTGTATCAATCACAATATTGGGCATATCAGTAAGTTAGAAGATAGATAGTAGGAGGTACTTAGAGCATCTAAGCATTAGTAAATAATAGTGTTTGTAATTACAACGTTCATGGCACATCAACCGCTCTCCTGACTCGCTGGCAATTGACTTAATTATGTTATTGTGTTGATACAGCAACCTAAACACTGTCAAGAAAGCGCGTATAAAACGCATTTTGTTAAATATCGCGCGTTAATAAGAAATAATTTTACAAATAAATAAAAACTCGACAATAATGAAATCTCGTCTATGTTCACGGAGATTTTTTTCTGGACATGGTCATGGTCAAGTGATTTGTCAGCATTGCACAGCTTGTCTATGCTTGCTATATACAGAACTCAACGGAGTGACAGGATTGATTGTAACCATCATGAGTAAAATCAGAAAAAAATCTGTACCATGCAGTTTGAAAATTATGGGCATTTAAAAACCTAGAACTTTGGTCAAACTATAATCATTTTTTGGTTATTGTGCTTGATTTTTATTATTTTTGTACATTTAAACTTTGAAACCTATAAAAAATTTCTACTTGCGTTGCACCTGCATTGGATTAAATGAGGTGCATGTTCGCAAATTCTTGTGAAGTGTAGCGCGTAGGCATAGTAACACAATGCTATAATATATAATATTAAATAAAAAGGCTTATTATTATATTCAAGGTAAATTATGTCGGGACAAAAATTTTGTCTAAGTTCTGAAATGTACCTACATACATTTAGACAAATAAATTATTACCAATAAAAAAAATAAGAACTTACGTAACAATAATAATCAGTAAAAATTACTTTTTAGAATCAAAAATTTCAACTGACTAAAATGGGTTAGCAAATATCGGGTTTCTTAAGAATTTCTTCTTTTACTAGTTTTTTGATTATGAAACTAACAATGCTTTATTGTCCAATTTCAAAATCCGCTAACTTATGTGGATTCAATACGCCAACTTTTAATGGCACTTGCCAAGGCACTCTTGTACATATTTTTTTCTAAAGGAGGGACTTTAAAATTCTAAATTCATAGTTTAACAAATAGTCTGAATTCTAGGAAACTTGGGGCAATTGTGTCATTATTTTTTTATTCTAGCAACGTTATTATTAAGGGTTACGGTTCCAGAGTTTAAATGAACAAAAATAATAAAAATTAACCACATTAACCGAAAAATTGTTACAGTTTGACCAAATGTCTAGGTTTTTCTTAAATGCTCATAATTTTCAAACATCGTCTTTTCTGATTTTTCTCATGATGGTCACAATCAATCCTGCCACTCCGTTTCGGCTTGACGTTGAGTTTTGGGACAGCCTGTATATATGAAGAATCTGACTACTATGCTATTATGGAACTACAATAATATTGTGTTACAAATACCTCGCTTTCAGTCACATGCACAGGTGTCAAAATTGATAACAGACTACGATTATCCCCGAAAGTATCGTAATGGTTAATTAAGCACCATGGCTGCCACTGGCAACTTTGTTTATATTCATTCAGGAGTGCCCTGTGCACCAACTCGGAACACGAAAGATCCCTAGAAGTTTACTAAAATGCATTACACTATAGGGACCATAAGGTAAAGTTGTGGTCCTACTGGATGATGGAGAAAACTGACAAGGGAAACTAAAGGGTAATGTCTCCCTCAGGACTAGGTGTTGTTAGCCCGAGAACCTAAACGAAGGCTAAAAAGTAGTTTTTTCGAGTTTTTATTTAGATATCATTTTACTACAGCACATATGGTTTGGCGGAAATGTGCTGTTAAGATGACATTACTTTTTATCAGTTTTATAAGTGACTGAGTAATGAATCTTTAAACTTACCGTCGAAGCACAAAAAATCTAATGGTTTTAGCAAAGAACATCTCTCTACACTGTTCATGTGATAATATAGACGTTTCAGATTTGTGATCGACTCGTTTATCTTCGCTTTCAACGCCATCCTCAGAAACGAACGCTTCTCTTGAATATTCTTCATCTATGGTAAAAATTTGACCTTCTTCATTAACTACAACCTTCTTTCCAAACGAATCTTTAATTTTTAACCAATTTTGGTGCATTTTCGTTACGCTACTCATATCATCAGTTCTTACTTTAACAGATGATGACGTAACAGAACGACACTCTGAACACGCCTCGTAATCTATGTTTAAAGTTTGCCCATCAAATTTCGCAGTGGTTGATTTGTCAAGAAATATGTTGTAATAGTTATTCACATCAACTACTACCTTGGTCCCATTGGGAGAATCTACGCTGATGTTACCATTCGCTTTGTTTACAATAATCGTAGAAAAATTTGCGTGTTCTATTGTGTAAATTATTTGTACGGAAACATAACCGTCTGAGCGCTCTTTTTCAATGATTTGTTCTTCCTCTACTTTAGAACTTACAAAACTTGCACTATGAGGATGATTAGATCCAATATAGCTTTTTTGTGAAAAGGAAACTTTTGATTTAAAAGTATCCGTTTCGATTCTGTCTGAATCTATTATATCAAAAAAATCTTTTTCTTCATCTGTCCATTCAGGATAAATGAGCTCATCTTCAATATAGAAACTCGTTATTATTCTTGTGTTATTAGGAAACGTAACTACGTGTACTCCGTCTTTATTTAGCAAAATATTAGTGCCATCCATGCGCCTTGAAAAAACTTCTCGCAGATTGTAATCTGTTGCAGTCCTAACTAACAATTTTTCGATAGGATGTGGTACTTCATTTTTCCATTTTTGTCTAAGACCATTGGATTCAATTGTTTCGAATTCTTCAATCACCAATTCATATTCTGGATTGATCTCGAAAGAATCGTCGCCGACGGCATTTTTTGAAGACTTAGAAGAAGTTTTACTCGGTTTATCTTTACTTTTTTCAGAAGTTTTGTCTTTGCCCTTTCCTTTTTTACTTTTATCTGAACTTGTCTCACTATGTATATCTTGTTGTGGTTCTGTATTAACTAAACTTTTCTCATATTTGGTAACTTTAATAGTTGAACCATCTGGCTGTAGCACTTCGATAATCCCTGAAGGTCTGAATATTATAACTTCACCTTGTAAACTGACGAAACGCATTTCTTCATCTAAATGCAAAAGAGGCTTTATATAATATTGTTTTATATGGGATATATCAGACGAATTTTCTAAATGTACAGATTCAGTAATTAGTCCGTTAGGCCAAGTAATAAAAAGTGAATAATAATAATGATTTTCAAATAAATGTACATTTTCGGCACCTATTTCGGATGGTATTCCTTTATTTACATTGTCTTTCAATTTTTGTTGATCATTATAAGACAGTGTCATGACTGGAATAGGTAATGTATAATTTTGTTTTTTTACATATATCAGTACATTATCTTTAGAGGTAATTCTAAATGATTCACACATATCTGTTACATAAGCAGACACATCATTGCCCAAAGCCCTGTGAAACCAAAATTCATTAGTACTGTTCCCCGGTATGACGTTTAAAATAATATACTCTAAATTTGTTGGAATTGTAAGTGTATACTTGCTTATTATTCGTGTGCCATCTTTAGAATAAAACATTGAATTCTTTCCAAATACTTCTACTCTCCTATTACCCAAATCATAGCCTATGAATGGCTTACTAGGAATTTGTACAGAAACGTCCGAACCAGTACCAGGAGCCATAAACGACTGCCTTAAGTATTTAGGAGTAGATCCAGTCGATTTTCCTTTTTTACCACTTTTTGTATCAGTTTCAGTGGAAGTCGGAGATATTGTGTTTTTTTTGGGTGTATCTTTAGTCTCTGTTGATTCCGGGCTCTCTTCCTCTTCAATTTTTATTATTTCTTGATATTTTAAAGAGCCCTCCATTAAAAGATCTAAACCAACGTCTGTGGTTTCGATACAAGAATTTTCAGCGAATGGATTGAGACCTTCTTTACATGAGGATTGTGATTTTATTATAACGTTTTCCTCATAAATTTTTTCTTCATTTTGTATCCAATCATAATGCTCTTCAAGAACAAAATCAAAAAAGTCCTGTAAGCTTAATGGAGTTGGTATGTGACAACGCCATTCTTGTTTCGATATGCCATCTTTATCGTGACTGTTATAAAACATCAATACAAGGCTATCAGTCACTTCACAATATTTGTAATCTAAACAATTAAACATATTAAAAGCTTCAAGAAGAATTTGAAAAGCGCTTGTACCTGTAAAATCTTCGAAATGTTCAAAGTCATCGATCATATGATTATTTGGCTGTTCACTAGCAATTTCCGCTGCTGATACTAGCTCGCTTAAGTCTGGACAATCAAATAAAAATTTAATCCGAGAAGTTTCCGGGTCATCTCCGTAAGAAACATTGGAAACATTTTCACTTTTTACCATAGAAATATATGATGGCGAACTGCCACTTTTCAATAAAGATGGGCATTGAGGTAAAGGCTCAGCTAAAATGCTACGTTTTAAATATATCTTTTTGAAATCGTATATGGTAGATGACGTCAAATGCTTACTTTTCAATGAGCTTCTATTATTATATAGCTTGCGACATGCCAGTATGTGTATTAGTCTATTCAATTCTGCTGTTTCAACATCTTCTCTATCAAAACACGATAAAAGTACATTGACATGAAAATTTATTTTAGCTTCAAGTTCTCCTTGAGCTTGATTATAATTTTTCCACAAAAGATTAAGTGGCATGCCTAATAACGTTGACCACACTATATTATCTAAATTAATGTTTCCTAAATGAAAAGTCGAATATTTGACAATGTCACCGTAATTGATAACTATTGGGTCTTTATGTAATTCGTACTCTTCTCCATACGTAATGCGATATGATTTTTTATGTGCATCCGTTTTGCACAAAGTTGTGAACACATTTTTTATGTGTTTCTCTGCTCTCAATAATTTTGTTTCTTCCTCAACACTCTTGTTTAACACTAAACCGGTAAATAATGATGTTGTACTACTGTTTTCCTCTAGACTTTGTCCTTTTACTACGGTTAAAAGAATACTATTCAAAAGAGAATAAATAGTAACGCATTCTAAAGGTAAATCTTCGATATCTTGAATATAGTAACTGATAGTTTTTTCATCATTTTTATGTGGTGGAATATGCATTATATCCATGTTATCTAAGTAATGAGAATGTTGTCTACTCAGATCTTGAATATCGTACATTAAAAAACATAATTCATCATATATTTTATCTGAATTTCCCGAAAGGCTCTCGTTATCCCAATATGGAGGTGAGAATACAATGAAAGCTGTGTCTTTAAAACAATCTGCCGACTCTCTTTGGATACGAAGTTTTTGTAAATCTTCCCAAAATTTCATTGATTTTTCACCAAAAATATCACTTTGACTTTGACCTCTTTTACTGGTTTTAATTAAGCTAGAAGGGATTTTCGTTGTTGTACAATCTATCCGTACTTGAACAACAGCTGTCAAAGGTATACCAATTTTTATAAGACAAGCGACCAAATTTGGCTCTATAAAGCCCGTTACAGCGACGTAGAGGTTAGGTCCGTCTGTTGGAAAATCATCAACGTAAACTTTGTCTCTCCATTCTTCACCTCTAACCCTCAATGAAGTATTGTATTTCTTGCCATCAGATGGTTCAGGAGTTTGTGGAATTGTATCCTGTTCAGCTTTCTTACCTTTGCCTTTGGGAGGTGAAGGTGGTTCAACAGGTTCCGGTGGTTTTACACTTACAGTACCTCTTACTTCTGTTCTGTCTATCATGGTAGCTGACTCTTGTCTCATTCCTTCTCTAACTTCTAGTCTTTGCCTTTTAATAAAAAGGTATTCTTCTTTCATTTTCAGAATCAAATGTTTAATAATTAGTGCCAGTACATCTGGAGGTATATCTTTTTTGTCTTTTAAGTAAACTTGGCCTTCTTCGAACACACGAAGATTATCATCTTTTACTTTTTTCTCGCCGCCTAACTGATTAATCATAAAAGTAGTTTCTGTTTTACATATATTTTTTATAACAAATCGTTTTTCTTCAGCTGCAACAGTTTCAAATTTATTTATATAAATACGGTCTTGGTCGCTACCAGCTGCCTCAATAATTATGACTTTCACTTTCCAATTTTCTTCATCAAGAACAGCATCTTCTATGGATGTTCTCCAATAATTTTCATCTGCAGTAGGATCTTTGCCTTTTTTAGGAGCCATTTTTTTATAAAATGGTTATTTATGAGTTGGAGATATGTAGAATAATTAAAAATGCTTCTGATTTAATGGTTATACTAAAGTGTAAAGTATATATGGGTTTGATGCGACAGTTTGATGGGTTATACATTACCGTTCTCTATGGTTATACACTAAAAGAGTAAAATATATATCTATTAGTAGAAATGGACGTTTAAACGAAACATGCTTTTCTAAATAAGTGCAAAAGCGCTTTTTCACTTAGAAGAAATGCTAATGTTTATTGTGCGTCCCGCCATCTATAAAGATATAACTACTAGCTTCAATCAATGGAGACCGAGCGTGCCACATTTTGTGTAGGTATCATGACGTCACGATCTTAATTTAGTGATGGAAGACATAATTTCACTTGCATCGAATACATGTTGTATTTGAAACGGCATACCGATTCTTATCGATTGAAAAAACGATATCGATCGACGGAGACCAACGTGTACAGTCTGTCTATAAAGTCATGAAAAGAATGTTTGAGGAACTAACATTAGACACAAGTATGACAACACTGAATCAAAGTACATCGACTGTCAACAACTTGATTTTTTAGCTCGATTTTCTGCATTTTTGATTTGTTTTGATTAAACTGAAGCTACTTCTTCTAAACTCCGTCGAAAAGTGTTAAAAATGAAGAGAATTAATCGGAGTGAAGCTCAGGATATTATTTATAAAGTTTTTCAGTGATGTTTATTGGAACAAGAAGCTGGACACATTTTATCATATTTGTAGGATGTTAAAGCTCGAACGGCAGTTATGGCTGGTATGTAATCGTGTTACTGATTGAGTTTTGGTTACCAGAAGTTTCAAATTTACTAAATATATGAATTTAAGTCTAAAATAAGTATTGTTTACATTATGCATTTATAGGTTAGATTGAAAATGTTAGAAGGCTATATTGTAGTGCGGCCCGAACTTTTAATACTTTTGGATAATCAAATTTATCATTGATTTTAATCTGAATAAAAAATATACCTGTTAGGAATGTACGATTTTTACCTACGTACGCCAATAAAAAGTTTGTGCTTTATATTACTAAAATTATAGCATTAATTTGATCATTGTGGCGATTCCATTCTTTTTGCCAAATACTATAGGTATTACATTTTTAAAACTTACTTTCAGGAAAATCAGAGAATATAGTGATACGTATTGTAGATGAAGGTTATAAAAATGGTGGCATATTTGAAACCCCTGGGAAACATAGATAGTCGTCCTAAGAAATAAATGGTTAACTGCAACATTTGTGCACTTCGACAAAAGATTCAGTTCTTTTACTCTGTGAAAAAAAGAGGTACCTACATTAAGAAAACATCAGTGGATTGCCAAAACCGATCTGGATTTTAATTGTAGCCTAGAAGTCCTGCGTTAAATTCTGAAATATATTGGGTTTTCTTACAAGGAGTGTCAAAGTAACAGGCTTTAATCGAACACAAGCACACATTGCAGTAAAACGAGAAAACAACTTGGCAATTATAAAATAAAAAGATTTATCAAAAATTTCGATTACTATATTGTAATCTTCAATGTAGAATAAACTCATTGTCTACGAATTATACGCCTTTCTTTACCTTTTCTGGGGTAATAAAAGTAAAAAAAAAAATCCTACTATCAAAATCATTTGTCTCACTACACAGGGTTGCTACGTGCACGATCGCAGCGCCCTCAATTTTTTTCATGACTTTATAGACAGACTACCATTTTGCTTAAATATTATGTATATGTCACGAACTCACGAATGTAATTTAGTGAATCGGCGCAAAAAAGATTTTATGCGATAGAATAGAAATATTTTTCTGTTTCGGCGTTTTTCTATTAGAGGGCAGCACTTTACATCCATATAGACTTTTTGCAACAACTTTTTTGGTTGGTTAATCCAAACGCTTTTTAAATGGATGGAACTAATACTTAAAAAAGCAGTACGTTTTTCGTTGTTGAAGTAAGTGCACGTTGGGTTGAATGTTAATTAATTGCGTAAGTTGAATTGTATGCGTAAATAAATTGCTACTTAAGTCATTACTTTTGTTTATTCCTAAATAAACAATGTAAATATGTTTTGTTATTAGGTGATGGTGTATATATAAAACATTCTAAATATTATTGAACTGCATTAGTTTTATGATTGCGTAAATAAAATATCGAGAAACGGTAATAGTATTATAAAATCCTTCGTTTTGAATCACCCTATCTATGAAAAAAAAAAACCGCATCAAAATCCGTTGCGTAGTTTTAAAGATTTAAGCAATACATAGGGATAAAGGGACAGAGAAAGCGACTTTGTTTTGTACTATGTAGTGATAACACAATGTGTGCAACATTGTGTTATCACATCATTGTGTTTTCCAGACGTCAGTTGAAATAAGCGTTTAAGCAATAAGCAATTTTTAAAAACGCTTATTAAAAATTGTACAACGTAACAACGCTTAAAATTTTTAAGCAGTTATTTCCACCTCTGCCTATTAGGGAAAAGAGAGCCTACTCTCGTGCTACTCTCCATAGATTTATTATTTTTATAGATGGATTACATTTAAGTTTTATTGTAAGTTGATTTTTTTCTATTTTTTCTATTTACTTATATTTCTTATAAGAAATATATGGATTAAAAATGTCAGAAAGGATGACGATTGGAGGCATACCCATTATTTACCTTTCGGAGAATCTTGTTTTGTCCACTTAATTTATGTGCTGTAATCTTGTTTTGTCCATTTAATTTATGTACCTAAATGTTTTGTGTTTATTTTATGGAAGGATTTGTTTTATGTTTATAAATAATGTTTATAATTTTATTACTAACTAGCTTTCCGCCAACGGTTTCGCCCGCGTCATCTATGTTAAGTTTACACCCCTATTTCATGCCCTTAGGGGTAGAATTTCCAAAATTCCGTTGTTAGTACTCACTTACATTATATAAAAACCTACATGAAAAATTTCAGGCTGTGGGTATGTCAGTCGCCTTCCTCTTTTATAAATCGCACAGCTAGATCTAAACTAAGACAACTCAAAAAACCAATGTAGAGGTCTGATAATACATTTATTTACGTGGCAGGAGCGCGACCAATGTTGATTCAACAAAAGAAAGCTAAAGTTATCAAGCGGCTCACCCTCGAACCTTTATTGAATCTATGTTGGCTAGATGCGTATGATCATCGAGTATTTGAATATTATACTAAGTCAAAACTCACTCAAGTTTTTGAGTTGTGATCATGATATTAGCAAATCCCGTTTTCATCAATTATTCTGATGTTAATGACCATGTGAGTTGTAAACAATACCTATATCGATCGTCAATACATGCCTCCACTCCTAATCTGGTCTAAAGTGAACCTAAGGAGCAGTGGCTTAAGGTACTTTAACATTTTAAAAGCAAAAAACGTAGAATGTATACGTATTAGAAAGCAGTGTTGTTAGGTTAGGATTGAATACATTTTAAATCGTATACCAATCATGTATATAAGTCATAATATGACGATAAGTAGGCACAAAGTTCAACGTACAAAATTCTTCCTGTTCGGTAACCGCGCTATACAAAAAGAAAAATACTGTCGCAGATATTTTATAACTTTAATCATTAAATTTCTGGTAATCGTTCATTAACAAACTTTTTAATAATATTCATTCCTCGTCTATTTATTGAATGATCTAATTTGTCTAGTATGTGAAATTCTCCTTTGACACCGAGTTTCTTCAAGTTTTCAAAAGTAGATTGTCCCCAGGCCAATTTCACCATAACATCTCTGTCACCATGAACCTGGAGTAAAGGTGGCACTGAAAAACATTTAATATGTTAAATTGCTTTAAAACTAGCATAAAATAATTAGCAAGTTGTGCAACGTCTGTCCGTATTAATATGGATTAAATACCTCGGTGGTGTAGTGGATAAGCGCTGCAGCCCGAGATCTTTTTTGTAAAACAACTTTCGCAAGGGTTGGTCACAGGATGGGTGACCAAAAAATTATTATCTCGAGCCACGCCATAATTCGGAAGGTACATTAAGCCGTTGGTCCTGGCTGCATTTACAGTAGTTAATACCTTACAATGCGCATTGAGCCAGCATGGAGGGTTATAGTTCATCCAAATTAACCGGCCATAAGAAAGGTCTGAGCCTCTGCAGTGGAGACGTAAAAGGGCTGATGATGATAGACCGAAAAATATGTTAGATTTTTTATTTTATTATTTTATACATACCATTGATTCCAGCATTTTTAAGATCTTCATAAACTATTGAATTGTCATTCAGAAAGGAACTAAAGGCAAAGACTCCAGCAACATCACGTACCCATCTATATGCAGTATGAAGTGCCAAGCAACCACCCATTGAAAATCCACCTAAAACATGACCAAAATATAATAAACAAACCCCAATAAAAATATTTCATCTAAAAAGTTGTCTAGATGATTATGGTTAAACTATTCAGATCTTATGTTAGAGCCATACTTCTCATTCTACGTCATGTGTTCATAATTTTTAAGACGAGTAAAAGTTGCGTAACTTTTTTAATAATTAACTTATATTTCTAAAATTTTCAGTAACCATTAAATAGATTATAATCAACAATAAAATATATACGTGTAAATTGTTGTGAATATTTGTGAAAATTCCCAAAAAGTTATTCGTATCTCAAGTGAGACGTGTTGTTTTTAATGTTTATAGCAAAATTTGTGAAAGACGCTGAAAATCAAAAATTATTATTTTATTTTAAAGTGTGTTTATGAATTTACCGATAATCAAGATCAAGATCAAAATCAAGATACCTCTGCAGAAATGCTAAAATTTGAAGCAGGTGTCAAAAACTCGCCAGGAAGGCCAAGTGTTTCGCCATAGACCACTTCAGCGGATGAAGCTTTAATATCTTTAAAAGCAGTTTCCATGCCAAAAAGAACAAGTGGCAACGCTCAAGTCCACGTATTAGCATGACACATGACTGCTGCCTTAAGTTGGCGGTGGATTCGATCCACCATGCCATTGGCACATGAGTTATAGCTGGTGTAGAGAATTCATTTGGAACCGCAGAAGTTCATAAGCCGCTGAAAAAAAAGAAGATTCAAATTTCGCCCCTGGTCGGTGGTGATTGAGCTGGAAACACCAAAACGGGCTCCCTATCCAGATACTAGTTTATTAACGACTTCCTCTGCGGTCATTGAAACCATTGGCCAAGCCTCTACCCACCGTGTGAAACGGTCTTTAGTGGTTAAACAATAGGTAAGTCCGTTGGGAAATGGCAAGGGCCTAATTTTACCAATATGGTTATGACGAAATCTACCAGATGGTAGGTCAAATTGACCAATGGGTTATTTAACATGTCTTGAAATTTTGTTTCTTTGGCAGTGAATGCAATGACGTGTCCAGTCGCGAAAATCTTTGTTGATATTTGACCAGACGTTAGCGTTCTGACACCAATCGCGCGGAAGCCTATGTATCAGGATGACTAAGTTGGGGACAACGGTCAAATGCAGATCGACGCAATTAAGGCGTAAAATAAGGTCTTGGTCTTCCAGTGGAAGTGTCACATAATAATTTACAGTAATACTGGTTCCAGAATCAGAATGGGCTCAAGTTGCAGAAACGAGTTTACACGAATGTTCGCCAACTCTTCATCAGTTTGCTGTACCTGGTCAAGAGCTACGTAATGTTATGCCAATGAAAGCGGGACAATGCGTCAGTGACCACATTTTCTTCCTCTTTATTGTATATTATGTCATTCGTGAACTGACTAATAAAAGGCAATTGATTTAGTTGGACTCTAAAATGTGTGTAAAATGTTGTACACTTTTCTTCAATGCCAAAAGTTTCCTATAATATGCTGGCCACTGACTGACAAGGAGTTAGTTTCTTACTAAAGAAAGCAAGGGGTGCCCAGTGTTCGTTGATTTTCTGATGTAAACAGGAATCAATATGGACACTGGAAGCGTCTGTGAAAAAACCAAGTTCTGCGCCGTTTACGGGGTGTTGGAGAAGTGTGACATTGCTAAGTCTTCTTGCATTCTACATACTATTCCAAGAACTAAGGGAATAATTTCACACTCTTGTCTTCAGTGGACAAAATGACGTCGATTATTGAAGCTTGATATTAAGAGGCATGAGGGATGAATCGGTGATAGAAATTGATCCTGCCGAGGAATCTACGTATGCCTTCCACTGTTTGAGGTGGAGGAAAAGCTAATAAATCCTGAACGCGAGTTTGCGGGGGCCGCGTGCCTTCTGCGTTGACATTGTAGCAAAGGAACCTTACCTTTTTTGCACCAAAGGTACACTTCAGAGACATTGATGATAACTCCATATCTATTGAAAAGGATGAGGATATGTTTTTTGTGGCTGGTCTCATCTGGAGAAAAATCGAAAACGTCGTCAACGCAAGAAAAACAGAAATCAAAACCACACGTGACCCGTGATAATTCGTTAGGTTTATCCACCATTTTTTAAACCAAAATCCATGTATAGAAATTCGAAGAGGCCAAATGGGGTGGTGATTGTAGTTTTGGCAATGTCCTCTTCTGCAACAGGAATTTGATTGGTGGTAAGCTTTTACCAGACCAAGCGTGCTACAAAGATAGTTGCTCCACTAATACTGTTGGCAAAGTCGTGAATATGCCTCGGTAGATAACGATCCGGAATATTCCTGGCGTTCAAGGCGCGGTAATCGCCACAGGGGCGCCAGGTGTTGTCATTTTTCAAGGTCATATGACGCGAAGATGACTAAAGGTTGTCAGATGGTCTTACAATACCAACGCGCATAACCAATTTCTGCGGAGCTTCTAGCAAAAACCAATTTCTGCGGAGCGAGTCGGCACGGCCGAAAAAAGACAGCAGAGTCATCTGTAGTCTTAATATAATGGAGAGTGTTGTGCTTGACTACTCTTGGAAAGAGTAAAACACTCTCCATTATAAGTCTGAAAGAAAAGTCTGAAAATTAAAATGTAAATTCATTGCTTTCTGAAAGAACTATCTTTACACTGGCCTATTCAGACACAGCAGAGCGGCAGACGCTGATAAGTCGGTGTCATCATCGACTAACCGTTTGGTTCGACAATCGGGTAGCAGGTAGTAATGGGCCAAGACTGACGAAACTCAGTCAAAGTTCGAGAGTAAAACTGGTGGTACTGAACTGAGTTGAGAAATTGCCGGACCCGCTGCTATAATGATACCAATAAACGCTCAATGAGTGTATCCTTTAATATTTGGTATTTCCTTTCTTCGGGTGGATTTATGACAATGTTCTCAATTTTTAAAGCTAATTTATGATAAATCTGGCTTATCAGATAGCTGAACATTGTGGTATCTGAAGTTATCCCAGCTAAATAGAATAAAGCTTCAGAATGAGTAAACTACACAGATGGTGCGTGGTACCAAAATGGTCGAATTTGACAGACACCGTATATACCTCATTCATAGATGCCTGATGACGAAAGTCGACGGGTGATATGATGTTGTTCTTAAAAGCAATTTCCGCCTATTGCTTCCTGGCTGCGGGCATCCAATGCTTGATGTATCTGTACTCGGAAAGGTCGCAGGTCGCAATCATTGAAGACTAGATCTTCAGCCTCATCCACTCTTATGGAATTCCGATGAAAAAAAATCCATTAGAACTCGTTCGGGTTCCCAATTTAGGTGGTGCGTAGAATGTTCTTCATTGGAATTTTGGATGTTATCGTCAAATGAATTTGGTTGAAATCAAACGCCGATTAGATACTCCAACAAAATATATAATTTCGTAATGGATCACTAGAAATCCTTTTCTTGCATTGGTAACCGATTCACAAAAAATCCTTTATTTTAATCTCCACACCACCTAAAGGTTGACTGGCAGAGAATGCCTAAGGCATTAAGTCCGCCTTTGTACGATTGTGCATAAAGAATAAATAAATAAATAATATAGTCATTGTCAAAACATCAATTGTCATAAGCCATAAAATATAAAAAAAAATCTGTAGAGAACACTTTTATCGGGTTGGCACAAAAGTAATGAGACACTTGGTTTATGTTTTTATTTTTTTATTATTATTACAATAAAAAAAGTTTAGTCAATGATGTAATTACCATTAGTATCTAAGACTTCTTGCCAACGATCCGGCAAAGTTTGGATGCCTTTTGCCCAGAACTCTGATGGCTGTGCCTCGAAAAAGTTGTTCAACTCCGCCTCTACGTCAGAGAAATCATTAAATTGTTTACCCCGCAAATGCTGTTTCAGGGCTCTAAACAAATGATAGTCTGATGGGGCGAGGTCTGGGGAATAAGGTGGGGTGGGGTATCGTCTCCCAGCCCAAGTTCTCCAACTGCCGGCGAACCACAGATGCGACGTGAGGTCGAGCGTTATCGTGCAGTAAAACTACATTGACTCGTCTTCGTCGGTTTTTCTTGATAGCGGCAGATAATTTGGTAAGCTGGGTTGAATATTTGTCAGCGTTTATAGTTTCATTGTGTAATAGCTCATAAAACAGTATGCCTTGCGCATCCCAGAAACAGCAAAGCAGAATTTTTCGGCGGTTCTTTTGACTCGGCTTCGGGTGAGTTGGTGGCGTTTCTTCTCGAGGCAGCCAAAAAGCACGACGTGTATCGTTCTAGTAATAAATCCATGATTCATCTCCAGTAACCAGATCTGACAAAAACTCTTTACGTCGGGGGGTCGCAGCAAAAGTGACTGACAGATAGCGACACGGACTGCACTACTGGCGTCTGTAAGGATGTGCGGTACCCACCGAGCCAAAACTTTTCGATAACCAAGCTCATGCAGATGGTGTTCCACGGCGTGGTGACTGCATTTAAGTGCTTCCGCTGATTCACGAGTGGTAGCATCCGGATTCAACTGCAGTTCGCGGCGCAAATCGTCATCATTCACTGCGGGTGGTCGCCCTGAGCGTGGCTGACTTTCAAGGCTCCTGTCTCCTGATTTAAAACGGTCAAACCTTCGGGACACCGTCGCATGGCTTGTACTTCCAGCGCCTAATGCATTGTTGATATTGTCAGCCGCAGCCCGCGCACTGTGGCCTAACAAGTACTCGTATAAGTATAGTGTTCGAACTTGTCGCTCGTCCATTTTTCTTCAAACTGACTAAACAACTCGCGAGCGTGGCTTTATATACCCTACACCAGAAGTACCTAGAATGCTCTACAACATTCTAGAATATTATCGAAAAATTTTATTTTAAAAAGGAAATGTTATAGATTTTTCTAGTGTGTCTCATTACTTTTATGCCAACCCAATAATTCAGAGCTAGATACATACATTTCGCTACAAAAACAATAAGTTTTTTCTAGACCGGGTCTGTCCCGTCAAATAGTAGATGTTGGTAGTATAGACTGGACAGGTATATTTTTGTGCACTATAGTATTATGTCCCAAACAGAAGGCTAACCTATGTCAAAATTTGATGAAATAGGAATATCGATGAATGTACTCCCAGAGTACAAAGAGTAAGTTCTCTTCATACATGCGCACCGAAAATATTTTGTTTACCCGTGCGTATGCGTCGTCGCACGCACATTCATCATATTATCACGAGTGCTAACTCGGTAGTAGCCTTGCGCAATGTATATCGCATACGCGAAAAGAGAGATATATGTCTTTAAGCTCAAAGATATATATCTATCTTTTATAAATATAAAAGATATATATCTTGTTCTTTTCCGAACTAAGCGAAATCGCTTAGTTCGAAAAAGAACAAGTTCTGCCCTGCGATTCTCCGAATTCACTTCAAAAAACGGCATCCACTCAACATTGAATTAGTAATAACGTTTCGTGGCATAAGTGAAGTGAGTTTCGAAATGACATAGGAATAGAATATCTGAGACACGTATTATATGTTTTGTATTTTTATGCAAAAAAATGGAATCAATTTAATTTATTCATAAATGACGTGAAGTCAGGACACATGAATGCATTCGAATTCGGATTTTTACAGAATCGCAGGGCTGTTTTCTTTTTCTGAGTGAGATATAAAAGATAAATATTCTAATGAACACGAAAACGCAAAGCGGTTGAAAGTGAAACGTTTGCAGCTTAATTATTTTAATTTGAAATCATTATGTTGACTTATAAAAAAGAAATGGCTATTTACAAATTTTATTTTACATTTATGTAGATTCCTATTATAATATTTACATTTTGCTACATTAATTTCCCTAATCATAATTTACCTCTTTTAAATTCCTATTAATATCAGATGTCTCACGCTGATTAATGTTTCTTTTGACTAGATACACAGACTACATATCTAGAAAAATTACACATTTTACTTATCATTTATTACATAACTATAGCCGAATACTATATAAACTGTAAAATAGGCATGTACATTACCAACTACAAGACATTTTTGCGAAAATTATTTGTAAGAATCAGGATATAGTTTACATTAACTTCAAATAATAAGGAATTTCGTACTTGTCGAAACAGGCGATTTTTTTTCTGTGTTAAATACAGACGTAATTTTGTTTAAAATTATACTTAAAACTACTTTTATGGATATAGTTTGAAGCGAGCCTGATTAATTGAAAAAAAAAAAAAATTATAATAAAATAAAATTCCCTATTTTCCATCAGATTGTAGTACACCTACATATGTACTGTATATTCATTGATCTCTACTTGAATTAAGAACCAAATTCTATCAAACTAACTGTTTCCCAGCGACTTCGCCTGCGTAAATTATAGCTTATGTCCCCCGCGTATTTTTATAACTCAGATCAATAGCTTCGGAGCCTGTCCAATGCAAACAAACAAACAAGCAATCTTTCCTCTTTATAAATGAATATAGGTTATTTTTAAAAATCACATCGAGTAAATAAACATAATCTCCATTTCTAAGACGTTCACTATGTTGAATATTTTTATTTAATATTTATGTCATTGTTACCTATTATATAAAAAAAAATATCCAACTTTAAACTTTGGAAAAATAAAAAATAATACTTATCTTAAAAGCGACTTCTTCAAGAAAACACTATTAAAGTCTGATGAATGTGTACTGTATGTTATTAAATGATAGGCGCCCGACTTTAATAGTTTTTATACCTAATGTAGTAATTCTCATAATCCGTACATTATCTAGTCTTATTACAAAACTGTTACGCATGCTGGTTTTAAACATATGCGGTCGAATAAATAGTGCATTGGTTTTGCATTTATACATTTTACCTGTTAATATTTTCTAATCAATAGACATTATATATCTAATGCTAGAAATACTTATAATAAGGTGAGTCATAATGTTTTTGTTATTTCTTCACTAATAAATAAATATAATATCACCAACCTACAACTATTCTATTACAAGGTATACTAGCTTCATTCTCTTTCTGAATAAGATAGCGAACTTCTTTTTCTATTTCAGAGATCGAATCTAGTTTTTCCGGTACTTCAATAGAAATATCAGCACGATCAAACCAGACATTGCTCAAAAGGCCCCCTGCTGGCGTATATGATTGTGCTGGAGCGGTAGGATATACTATATTTATGTGTGGAAAAGTGAAGTCAGACATCAATCTGACCCATTCTTTCATATTGTCTCCGGATCCACCTGAAATAAAAATTACTGTCAGATATTTATATTTAAGTTGTCAATACGATGACATTGAGGATCTGCTTGGAACATTAACGAATTGATATGTAAAAAACATGAAGTTATTAATATGATTAACATAAACAGATTAGTCATTCTCTTTATGTCTTTTTCCTTAAAAGATCATGCGGTGTATATAAAAAATGCTCCACTGCAGTCATAATAAAGAAAAACATAAAACACAATTGCCAAAAATGATAAATCTTAGCTACTACAGTGAATATTACTGATAAAATTAAGCAATATACCAAAGCACACTATTATACAGTCAGATTATTTTACAAACTTCATTGCAGGAGGTGATTGGTATTTGAAGCATCAACAGTTACAGTAGTAAAGGGCAGAGATTTTGAAAGGCTCTTCTGCCAAAAATTCTTTTGCTGTATAACTACAAGAAAACCAATATATTATCCCCCAGAACCTAATAAAAAACCTTATCTTGTGTATTTCTTCATACTTAAGGGTATTAATTAACTCTATAGAAAAATCGAAGATTTAAGACAGCCGTTCTGATCATTCGCCTCTCATAGCCACTGTTATTACTACAATAATATGAAACGAGTTTAAAGAATATTTTTATAATTTATACACAGCCTAGGTAGCATTCAGAGACTTTCTCTACGAGGATCTCGAATTAAGTGTCCCTTAAGACGAGGTCTGATATAGGAGAATGCTGCGGAGACAATCACTAAAGCTGTGCAAAATAGTTGCTTGCTAAGCACTCCAGAAATATCGAACCAACCAAACGATGACGAAACCGTACCAGTAGCTATAAAAGAAAAAGTATTTGTTACAAAAAAGAAGACTTGGACGAATATATAGCAAATATCTAGGCGAATTAAATACAAAATACTTTTCAATAAAGCAGCCTCAGAACCAAAAAAAAATATATCTGGTGAGTAGAAAAAGAAATCATACAAAATAGGCTGGAAAACATGTCGGAAGTGAGAATCGAGGAATAATTTTATATACCGCTAATAAATAACGGAGATGTACACCGTTATTTGTTAGCGTTAAAAATAATTTGACCAAATTACTGTTGAAGTACTCAGAATACTACCTAAAAAAGCGATTGTTTTCCTACTGAGAACATCCTTAATATAGAAAATCTCGTACATTAAAATGATACCAAGCCCAGGCAAAGGCCATTTCTTAGTCTCATTGTATCGCACTGTAAGGTTGCTGTCGGTGCTTTCGCAAGTGTTTGAAAAGATATTACTGATTCGTATGTCGGTCATAGATGTTCTGTAACTATGAACGATTACTGTTTCCTGGTCATCAATTTGGATTTACAGAAAATCCACAATAGAACAGGTTTATAAATTGGTTAATAAGACACAGCAAACAATAGAATTATTGTACTGCAACATTTCAATTTGTTGATTTAAGTCGTTAAGAACGAAAGTCAATCTGATATCAGTGCTGTGGTCTCACAAGGTTACCTTCTGGGACCGTCACAAAGTAGTATTCTCGAGTCAGCATAGACTTACAGCATAGAACTTTGGGGTACAGCCTGTAATTATAACCTTGAAATAGAATAGCACTTACAAAATAACCTGTTCTGCACGATTCTTAAAGCGCCCTAGTTCATAAGTCAAGTGAAGCACGAGTACTATTTTCAAGTACTCATGGTGTTAAAGTGGAACTCTCATGGAAATAAATCTGCACAAAACGCTACATAAATAGACGAGTGCACCACATCAACACACTTGCATCTGCACTCAATAATATGGCACATAAGGTAGATTGGAATGATATGCTATTAAAAATCTGGAATAGATGGACTAATTCTCTAACAAATCTTTGGAAGTGACCTCCGAGTGCCGCCTTAAATGTCAAGACTTCTTCATCAAAACTGTTTATAGTTTTCGTTTTTTGTACCGAGTACAATTAGAATAAATTACAAAAAGATGCTTATTAGTTATTAGAGGAGGAGATTGTTAATGTATTCAGTTTAAAAGATGAAAAAAAAAATCTCAAGAGCCTGTCATAGGATGGGTGAGCATAACTTTAATTTTTATTTTGATTTCCTGGCTGTTTTTGCAGTTGTTAATACCCACAAGCAAGTCTGCACTGGGCCATGGTGGGCTATTTTCCCATTTGGTTTTCATCCATCCCTAAGGAATCTAAGATTTACCTATAATGTTAAAAGTCCCAAATAGTGATTTTTGTTAATTTTAAATTTGTACCATCATTAAATTTTAGTATCTTCAAGGTTTTTTACCTCAAGAACATGGTAAATGTTGATAGGCAACTCCAAATATAAAACATGGAGATGGATTTTTCTGTGTATTTAGTAATATTTTGCTGGTTAGGTGTTCTGAAACATAACCCATAATTTAATAAGATTTTCCAATATTTTACAATATTATATGATATCATATATAAATAAAGACAAAAAATATTATCATAATGATAATTACATTACAAATGTCAAGAGGCTTTGAGTGATGTGTAATGTATATTTAAGATCATAAAACACTCATGATTTAATTACAATACTAAAATTTAAAAATAAGTACCAAAAGACCAATTGTCGGGGTGGACATCATCCAATATTAGGTCAAGACCTATTCAATAACACCTATCTCAAAAATGTATACACCCCTTTCCTATATTATGTCACAATCCAAAAATAAGGGGAGACCAATAAGATACCTGATCAATTGTTGAGCTTAGGTCAGAATTGCAATCAAAACAAAAAGCGAGCCATAATAAGTGATCATTAAGACAGAGGGATCTGGTCAATCGGTTAGGTTAGGAATTTTAAGAATATATTATAGCTATATTAATATGTGAAAAATTTGACAAAAATATTACCCTTTGTTCTCGCTAGTTCGATTCATTAGTTTGATCCTCGGACTAGTGAGAATGTTTTTCCCATCAGTGGACTACTTCCGGGTGATATGGCAATGATTTGTATGTTAGAGGTGATGATAACAGTCACCTCTAACATACTATTATCAACAACCTATACTATTATCAACAACCTATTTACGACCCAACATCGTGGCTGAGGCCTTCCTTATGGATGGTCAAGGAGGATGGGCCATGACCCGCCGGTCCAATGCCGATTAGAGGGCATTAACGAACGACTGCAAATGCAGCCGGGACCAACGGCAAGTGGTTCAAGATAATAATTTTTGATCACACATCCCGTGACCGACCCTAACGAAAATTGCTTAACAACAACGATTGCGGACTATGGCGTTTTTCCACTACGCCACCGAACTAACGTACTATTATGTCTACAAATGTTAAATGGATAACACTTTTAAAGGTTTATTAATAATTCTAACCTGAACCATGAAAATAAAACACTGTGGCTGAATGCTTAACTCCAGTGTACTTTGTTAAATGTATAGCACCGAGCCTGGACATGTCGTGTAAAGTTAGGTTTTGGTACGTATAAATTATTAATTATAGTATAAACGATTAAATATTTTCAGTCTTCTTTTCTTCTTCTTCTTCTTCTTTTATTATTGGCTTATCTGCGATAAGTCGTCTTTTCACATAAGTATTTTTTTAAATATTCTACTCTTCATTTTTCATCTCTCGGGGTAGGCAAAGGACTTTCATTCATACAGCCACATCATCAAAAATATTTTTTGACAATATGAGTGTTCACGCACCCTTACGCTTCTTCGAATTAACGCGTTAATAAATTAGAGCCTTCATTAACACGTTAAAAAATATATATAATTAGTTTATAGCGTGACTATTAAAAATTAAGTCGTTTTGAACACCTCTGATTTGGGTATTGTTTTAATAAGGGAGGCATTATCTAGTTGTATTGTTGATCGAAGGCTAATTAGTACAATAATATATATTTGACGATTATCTAAAAACCATTTTAAATGGTTGTTTGGTACATTATAAACAAACTGTCAATATATTTTATGAGAATCTGTTATATTTTCGGTGAAAATATTTGAACCAAAATCGAACAAAAAACGTTGCTCTATATAATGGCGCTAATCACGTGGTATTTGTAAAGTCACATGCCGGTAAATAAAGCCATGTATAAAACTTTTAGTAGTTATATACGAAATATCACATAAAAATCGTCTCTGTCATGGGAGAATCGAATTTATACACAACAGCCAGAATTTCTGAACGACTTTGTTTCGCACAGATTTTATAATGTACAGAAAACTCTATACATAAAGAGGTATTTCTTGACCGTAGAAAAAACTACGCAATTTTTTCTTCCGATTAATAATTTCATTATCAGATAAACTCTCGATTGTTTCATCTCCTTTAGCAATCTCTTCTTTTTTCTCGTCTTCAAAGCCAATATCCAATAAAGCAATTGATTTCTTTAACAACATTTTTTCTCTTTCTTCGTAGTCTAAGTCATTTGCTTCTTTAGGCGGTTCCCACTTGAATGTGTGCTGATTTTTTATATTTTCCTTCAACTTTTGATTGTGTGTAGCTAACACGCATTCAATACCACCGCTTACGTTGTAGTGATTGGGGGCCGGAGTAATACTTGGTATTTTTGGAAAACGCGGCGACCTTTGAAGAGGGCCACTTGTAACAGCTGGAAAACATTTTGGCTTATCCCATTCATAATAACAAGGTCCTGGTGTTTTGACACTCCCATGTACAGGCATCCAATCTTTCCATGGCTGAAAACGACCCTCCGAAGTGTAGAATGGAGCTAAAAATTGTAACTGGTGTGATCTATGTGCAATCTTCCTGGTTTGTGGCATGTCCCCAGGACTTGGTTCACTTGGTTTCTTTTTGAGCGGTTTCATTCGTATAGTTTTGGACTTAAATAGCCAAGTAGGTCTAGGACAAGGATCTCTAGTGTCTACTTCCATCGGTCGGGTTTCATCTTCTATTGCTAATTCTCCATGCTCGTCTTCTACCAAAGGAGCTTTTTTAAATCTGATAGAAGAAGATCCAAAAGGAGCCGTAGGACAATGCATAAATTTACACGGCTTATAAGTTGGATTGTAACTTGCGGGACTTGGACCTTCTTCATATTTTGGCTTAAATCTTTGTGCCTTTACACCGAAAAATGATGGTTCAGGTAGTTTAGCATGACAAAATACATCGGGTGGTTTTGGAAGATCAAACGTTCGCTTCACAACATATTCTGTAGGACCAGGACCTCTATCAATGTCATGTCTTAAAAATCTATCTGCCTTTGCTCCTAAATATTGCGCAACATATCCTTTAGGGTGTTCTGGACTGTATGAAGCAGGTCCAGGCCGGCCTTCTAAAATATCACGTGCTTGAACCATTTCTATGAAACGTAATTGTCTAGATGTTAAACGTTTATATTCTTTTAACTTCTCAATGCATATTTCGTAATTCGTAGGTTTTTTCACATAATAATAATCAGCAGGCCCGGGTCTATTTTCCAAAGACTTAACTATTCGTTTTCCTGTCCAACTGCTCCATTTGCATCCATGGTAAAAATCAGTTGAAAAGTATACATTAGCATTATAAAAAGGGGGACTTTCTTCTTTTTTAATTAGAAAACGCTTTTTATCTTCATCCATTTTAATTTTAGGCGTTGGTCCTATGACTATACGTTTACGAACTTTTTCCTGACACAAAATATTTTGCTTCGATTCCTTGGTTTCAGACGAGCATTCACATTCATCACTTATACCACAACGACATAACAATACTTTTAAGTCTTCTTTACTAAACGTTTCGTAAGGAAATCGAGGACATTTGGATTTTAGTGATGTGCAGTTTGGAATTTTATGCAACGAATTCAAATCATAAGTAGCGTGAGTCCACAGAGGACCTCCAGGAGCTGTATTTCGAGGTTTCCGAGACAAAAATGGGACTTTGTTAGGGCGTATCATTAAAGAATTTTCCATTTGGTATGCGCCAGGATCAAGAAGTCTGTAATATTTGTGCTTTGGTGGAAATCTGTTACTGCGATTATAAGCCATTTTATCAAAGGAATATGATCAAGAAATGTGTACGTATACTTGTACTGTATCGTTTAGGTTCGAACTTTATTCACCTTAATTCACCATTAAAATTACAAAAAAATAATAAACTCTTTGAATAAACTCCTTTAGATTTAATTTTTTTACTGATTAACAAAAAATGGACTAAACAAAGAGTAAAGTATATCAAGGAGATATGGAGCAAAGTACACAAAGAGTAAAATATAATATTTTAATATTTCGTGGATCATAGACTTTATTATACTATATAATAATATATTTTCATATATACATAGTGTATATGATCCAAGATCTAACATGATATAATTTTAAAAAGTGGAAAGTTATAATTTCTTGTTTGTTTGCATCGAATATTTAACCACCTACAGGAAGGTACATCATATTAAGATAGATAGATAGAATATACCTTATTGCACACACAAAGACAATATACACTTATATGACAAAAACAGGAGACGTACAATTGGCGGCCTTACCACTAAAAGTGATTTCTTCCAGGCAACCTTGGGATGGAGTTAAATATAAAAGACCTAATGATGGGGTAGTGGATGGTGTACAAATAAACAACTTATAAATATACATAATTGACAATTGTTATATACTTAATTTAATTATTATAATTTACCTACATATACTATAATATAATAAATATTATCATATAAAATATAATACATATATAATACCTATATACATACTTTCATGGACAGGTAGTACTCTCGGACAAGTTTCCTTAATATATTAAAAGAATTAGTTTTTCTAATCGACAAAGGTAGCGCATTCCAAAGGCGTACACCTTGGACGGTAAAAGATTTATCGTAGTACTTAGTGGAATGCATTGGCATTTCCAGCCGCAGGTTTTCAGATGATCTCAAGAAGCGGGGATGGTATTCTTTGACGAATTTGAAACGATCTTTGCGATAAGAAGGGGTAGTGGGATTAAAAAGTATATTAAATAACATATTTAAAATATGTGCTTTCTGGCGAAATCGAATTGGCAGCCACTTGAGTTTCTCACGAAATTCGGAAACGTGATCATATTTGCGTAGTCCAAATATGAATCTTATGCAAAAATTTTGAAGGCACCTTTAAGCTTATTCAGCTGCATTAGAAGAGATTGTGTGAGCGCAATTTTAGTGGCAATAGGCAATAAATTGCGAAGCCTTCTTAAAGACCCAGCAGATGCAAAAAGTTTGCGACTCACTTCTTTGAGTTGCACATCCCAATTTAAGTTTTTACCAATATATACACCTAAATTTCTAACATGATCACTAAATTATAAAGAGATTCCATCGAAAACTATTTGCGGGATCTGTTCAAACTTTACTTTAGCTCTAAGCCTTAAGCTGCCCACTACGACAACTTGAGTTTTGGTGGGATTCACCCAAAGCCCATGTTTGCGGCTCCATTCAGAAATCTGAGCTAAATCTTTATTAAGACTTTCAATGGCAAAACTAATATCTTCAGCGGGGGCTTTCATATTTATTTGCAAATCGTCTGCATAAAGATGGTAGGAAGAAAGTAACTGACAGGAAATTGTGCTAATATAAACAGCAAAAAGAAGAGGAGATAAAACGCCACCCTGCGGCACCCCGGCAGTTAAGTCACACCAACAAGAGAAAGAATCTTCAATGCGGACGCGCTGCCGGCGTCCAGACAGGTAACTTCGAAACAAATCAACTGCTGATGGAGAAATGTTAATAGAGCGTAATTTTTGAAGCAAAGCGTCAAAATCAACAGTGTTGAACGCGTTGCTAAATTCTAGAAGACATAAGATCGTGATGGTTCCAGTTTCCATTCCTAGCCTAATATCATCTGTTATGTTGATAAGGGCAGTAATAGTGCTGTGACCTGGTCGGAAACCGGATTGGTAGGGATTCATGAGGTTGTTTTTAACTAGGAATACGCTAAGTTGGTTGTGAACAAGACTTTAGATAGGAATGGGAGGATGGATATGGGACGATAATCTGACAGGGAGACAGGGTTAGATTTTTAGGAAGTGGTGTAACTTGAGTTTTTTTTCAGGATGACGGAAATTCACTAACAGATATAGAAATATATGTGTAATAAACACAGGAAGAATTTCATCGAGGATTGGCATTACCATTTTCCAGCTGATACAGTCATTGCCCACTGCATTGGAGGTAATTGACAAGACGCTCTTTTTAACATCACACCCAGAGAATTGATTAATGAAGAAAGGATCATGATTAGGGCGGGGCACAGATGAAATTGATTGAATGGTATTTACTTTCGTGGTCTCGTCAAATTGAGGTGACGAGGAAAAATGTTGATTTAATAAATTTATATCAATGATACTAGGTAAATCCATTTGTCGAGATTTCCCGATCCCTGTAGAATTAAGAAACTTCCAGACTTTTGCTAGGTCACCATTTTCGACGGAACTGTGGATTTAGTGGCATTGTGCTTTCCTACATACTCTATTGCAGCGATTACGAATTGCAACGAATTTCTCCCAGTTTGCGCTAGTGGGCATATGTTTGTACTTTGTTTTGGCCACAGCTTTAAGGTGACTTAATGCTTTAATATATTCACTAAGCCAAGGTGAAGGGGGATGCTTAATCTTTACGGAGCGTATCGGGGCATGTTCATCAAACAACTGAGTCAGTTGTGCAACTAGATAGTTAAGCTTTTTATCAACTGTTTTAGAGGCATATAATTGAGTCCAATCAATGTTATGAGCGTCATGTCGGAGACTATTGAAATCCATACCACTAAAATTGCGCTGAAGAAGATTTTTTATTTTAATGGAAATGAAATGAAATTGAAATGACAATGTAGGACATAGGTTGGTACATATAATTAGTTGTTATAGAACAAAGCGAAGGCTATTAATTCCATGCATTGCGGTCCTTAAAATAATCATCAACTTTATAATAGCTGTTACGGATGTACGTCTCGTCGGGTTTTAAATATAAGATGATCTTAAGTAAATAATATATATAATAAGTAAGTTTAGTCAAATGTATGTAATATTAAATGATAGAACCTCTGGGTGTATTTATTCCTATAATGTTAAGGTAATTTAAGTTATAACATAAGTTAATTAAATGATTATGAAGGGTTGAATTTTAATCTCCTATGGTATGGTTCTCTTTAACGTATTGCCTCGCTAAGGAGGCTTAGGTGGCTCTCTGTATGCCTCGATGAAAGGGGGTATTAAATGTAAACTATTCACCTACCCTACGTTTAGAGAGACGGCGCTAGTTTACGCGGGATCTTCCGTCTCGCTCTAACCACATAAATACGTCGGGCAAGAGCGCGGCGCGCCTTAGAACGATTATGAACTTCGAAGGCGCCGTCTTGTCCAATACGATGCAAGTGATGTATGAATGTTTTTTTACCTAGTTTGTAATGTAAATAAGTAAAGCAGTAAACTGTATTAGTAACGATAATGTAATACATAGATGTTAAGAGAGGGGGGTGGCTTCGCCAGGTAGGGGTAAAGTATATAATACGATAACAAACTGGTTATATACGGAGCTAAGTGCGTGCCATCCCAGCAAATGTAAGACGGGTCGATATGAGCAGTTTTTTTAAGCTCTTCGGCCCTCAAGATCTGAATAAAGAAGTGAAAATTATCGAAAGAGTTTTAATTCTACATTCCAGCATCGGATAGCTACGTTGAAACTGTTCAAGATCAGGAAGATCCGCAACAATAGCCTTTACTCATGAGTATGTTGAACATAAAGAACATTCTAATATGGTCTTTATGTGAGTTTTAAATTTATTTACGGGTAGGTCAATTACATTTTGTGGAACTTTATTGAACATAGCAATGCATTTGCACAGAAAAGATCCTCTGGTTTTTTGAAGTCTGAAGCTTGGAACGGCAAGTTTATTTTTATTTCTTGAACATTACTTTTTTTGTAATGTTTTCTTGCGTACATTCTTTTACCATAATAACTATTGCTTCCTATTCAATTTGTCATTGTTATTATTATTTTTTTTCAATTATTCGCTCCTTTCGGAACAGGCTAAGATCATAGACTCATTGTTATTATAACCGTGTCACGATATGAAACCTTATCCAAATGAATCGTTAAACTAGATTCTAAGCTTGGATTAACATACATGGTCTTGCCATAAATATTGTTACATATTTTTTTTTAATTGAAGGTTATAGAGTTAGTTTTATACACTGATATAAAGCCATTATATAAGAAGATATACACACATCAACATCGTCTAGGGATATTTGGTATAAAGTTTTAAGTTAAAAAAAAAACTGGTCTGATTTTAAAATCTTTTGATGAAAACTTATTTTGTACGCCTTTTTTGATGATTCGAAATGTGAATTAAAAAAAATTTTCAAACAAAAGATTTGTGCGGCATAATTCAAGCGAAGTTCGAAGTTTCCAATCTACCCACCATAGTTTTTGAAGATTTTTTGTGTTAATCGAAAGTTTTAAAACAAGTTAGATGTTTATTTTGAATTTGTGCTACTGTATGCATTATGTAGCGACGCTATTTCACAAGAGAGTATTGTTTAGGACATCGGAACAAAACAAAACGTGATATCACGGTTATGGTCACTTTATCGTGCTACTGGTGAAGTGGCTGAAAGACACCTAGGCGGGAAGCGCATAACCACCCAACGACCGACGAAGACCGATTTTTGCAAATTGCTGCAAGAAGGGAACCAAATGTGACGACCATGCAGTTGGTTCAAAGGCTCCAGGCAGAGCACCAGTTGCTTGTGAGTGACCAAACTGTGTGGAGAAGACTGCATGAAGCTAATCTTCATGCATGCAGACCGCTTCGTACTCCTGCACTACGCTGAGGAAATCGTGGAAGAAGATTACAGTGCACTCGTGAACATTTGCTCTAGAAAGCCAGTGGTCTGTAATGCTATTTACCGATGAGTCCCTATTCGGTTTCCATCCTGATTCGCGAAGAATACGCGTATGGTGAACTCCTGGTCGTGAGAACCGCCTGCAACGCGCTCAGGAAGTCCATCC